AAACAAATGTGAAAAATCAAAATTTATTTCCAAAGCGAAATAGAAGCCTAACTTTTATAATTTAATCAATGAACTCCACGCGATTTTATTTCTTACTCGAAAAAGATATCAGAAGATGATAACATATTCATATTCATAGTACTAATTTACATGGAATTTTATTTGTTTAGTCCCAACAAACTCTGATTGACATTATACGCGAATTATCCCTCGTATGTTCAAATCTGATTTGTTCAAACACTTTATCTTTTTAGATTTTAATTTATTTTGTAATAAAAAATAATCCTTTAAGATAAGGTAAATATACAATAAAGTCTCTTTATTTTTAGTTATTTAGTAATCTACGGAGAAATTTAGTTATATATTAATGACATGGTATTATATTCCAACAAAATATGATTGTTACGTATAAAATGAATCATTTCGTTTAATTCGTAAATTTTGCTCAGAAAATACATATTAAAGGAAAGCTAATGGTTTCTTCAAAATTACTGCGATAATAATTTAATTTTTCAATTTGACTATTTTGTGTTTAATATTAAATTTTTTTGGTTTTTAAGAATTTCCTTTTTAATTAATGATCGGCAAAAACGTCAAATTATCAACCAATCAAATTCCTCCTTAATGTTTATAAATAATGCGCTATCTTAAGTAAATTTTTGTTCCACACTCGCTTTCTCTTCTTAGATCGCAAGAATAGGTTATTTTTTTGTTGCTTGATTAGATATTGATAAATAACGTAAATGGAAGAGGTAGATACGAAATTGATATACTTTATAACCTAAATTTCTGGGATTGGGTTTGGTTTGCCATATAGTGTTTTTTTTTTCTTTATATTCTTTTAACGCGTTTAATTTTAACGAACGTGAATTAATAAGTGGCTCGCATATATTGAAGAATAAATATATGAAAGTAATTAGATTTTGCTGAAATACTAACGCTAATATAATAGAAAATTTGAGGTATGACGAAAATTTCTGTGGACCGAGTTTGTGTTTAATTATTTCTTTGCATCGCGTTCAATATTTCTTTAACTGGAATGTACAACCATTTGGATCGTTTATTGTAAATGTGAATGAATTATATATATGTTGAGCTGGAATAATGAGTTGAGAAATATAAAAGAGGATTAACGAAATATTCTGTGTACTGGGTTTGCTATGTTATGTCTTGAATTTATTGTTTTATATATGTACTAACCGTATAATTGCATTTACCGGATTGGATAACATATTGTAACGTATGATAATGGAAATATATCAATAACAAAAAAATGTGTATTAATAGGGTAATATTATATAGTAAAATTATGAACTGAATTATGGATCGTGAATGAAGAGATACCAACATGATATTTTAGGATTGGGTTTGCTTTATTTTGAATTACTTTGTTTTTAATTTTTGTTTCTTTACTAATGCATATAATTGCATTTACCGGACTAGATAATTTATATAGCGTACTAGATCATGTGATTGATTATGGAAAGTTGTATTAGAGTGATATTTTTAGAAATTTTATGTACTGAATATGGATTATGAATAGTGTAGAGATACCAAATATGGTTTATTATTTTGGACTGGGTTTGCTTTATTTTGTAATTTCTTTTGTTTTTAATTTTTGTTTCTTTACTAACGCGGATAATTGCATTTATCGGACTGGATAACATAACATATTGGAACGTAAAATAATAGAAAATATCAATAATAGTTGTGAGAAATATTGTATTGTATTATATGATAATCAAAGTTAATATGTAATAATTACAGATTGTGAGTTGATGGAGGGTATAAAGGATGATTGACGAAATTTTCTGTGAATGGGTTTGCTTTTTCTTTATTTTTGTTTTAATTTTTTTTATAAATAAATGCTTTAATAACATATAATTGCATTTTACCGGATTGGATAACATATATGTAATAATGGAAATATAACAATATTGATAGTAAAATTGTTTGGGATGCATAATTATAATTAATAGATAATAATAATGGATTGTAAGTTAATGGAGGGTATAAAGGATGATTGACGAAAATACTGTGAATGGTTTGCTTTATCTTAATTGTTTGTTTTATTTTTTTATAAATGCTTTACTAACATATAATTGCATTTTACCGGATGTAATAATGGAAATATAATAATTATATTATATTTGTGTATGAGTGAGATATAGTTAATATGTAATTATGGATTGTGATTTGATGGAGGGATATCAATGATAACTACGAAATTTTCTGTGAATGGGTTTGCTTTATTTTGATTATTTTTTGTTTTTATTTTTTTTAAAGCTTTACTAACACATTTAATTGCATTTACTGGATTGGATAACATTTTGAACGTGTAATAATGGAAATATAACGATTATATTGGCATATGATGGAGGGATATCAATAATAATTTATGAAATTTTCTGTGAATGGGTTTGCTTTATCTTGATTAATTTTTGTTTTAATTTTTTATAAATGCTTTACTAACACATTTAATTGCATTTACTGGATTGGATAATTTATTGGGACGTGTTATTTGCGTTGAGTTAGATTATATAGTAAATTTTGTTGGGATGTATAATTTATAGTTAATATGATATCAACAATAATTGATGAATTTTCTGTGAATGGGTTTGCTTTATCTTAATTAATTTTTGTTTTTATTTTTTTTAAAGCTTTACTAACACATTTAATTGCATTTACCGGATTGGATAACATTTTAATGTGTAATAATGGAAATATTACGATTATATTTGCGTATGGATATTGTATAATAAATTTTGTTGGAATGGATAATTATAGTTAACATGAAATTACGGATTGTGATTTGATGGAGGGATATCAACAATAATTGATGAAATTTTCTGCGAATGGGTTTGCTTTATCTTGATTATTTTTTATTTTAATTTTTTTTTATAAATATTTTACTAACATATAATTGCATTTTACCGGATGTAATAATGGAAATATAACAATTATATTATATTGTGTATGAGTGAGATATAGTTAATATGAAATTATGGATTATGATTTGATGGAGAAATATCAATAATAATTGACGAAATTTTCTGTGAATGGGTTTGCTTAATCTTTTATTTTTTTTTATAAAAGCTTTACTAACACATTTAATTGCATTTACCGGATTGGATAATTTATTGGGACGTGTTATTTGCGTTGAGTTAGATTATATAGTAAATTTGATTGGGATGTATAATTAATAGTAAATATGATATCAACAATAATTGATGAATTTTCTGTGAATGGGTTTGCTTTATCTTGATTATTTTTTGTTTATTTTTTTTAAAGCTTTACTAACACATTTAATTGCATTTACCGGATTGGATAACATTTTGAACGTGTAATAATGGAAATATAATGATTATATTGGCGTATGATGGAGGGATATCAACAATAATTGATGAAATTTTCTGCGAATGGGTTTGCTTTATCTTGATTATTTTTTATTTTGATTTTTTTTTATAAATACTTTACTAATACATTTAATTGCATTTACCTAAGAGTTTGATATTGATAGTAAATAAATTTGATTTGGATGGAAAATATAATTATGTAATAATAATGGATTGTAAGTTAATGGAGGGTATAAATGATGATTGACGAAAACTTTGTGAATGGTGTGATTTATCTTGATTATTTGTTTAAATTTTTTTTATTAATACTTTACTAACACATTTAATTGAATTTACTGGACTGGATAACATATTGGAACGGATGGACTGAACTATGATTTTTAATTGGTGTTATAATGTACATCATGATTTGAATTTTTTAATTTATATTAATCTTTATTAATTAATATTTTGTAATATATTCTTAACGTAATATTGGATAATAATGTACAGTAGAATGTTGGATAGGAAACATTCATGTGGAGTTATAATTAGAGATTGAAATATTTGAGGATTTTATGAAAAATAATTTTGTAAGGAAATTTTGCGAGAGATTAGGTCTTCTTTTTGATGCTCAAATTAAATTCGATATCAATGATTATTCAACGATTATAATTGAATGAATTTTATTTCATCATGATATTGATAACGTTTTAAATTCTTGTAATAATGAGATAATCGATAAATTTGAGCTTAAAAATTGAATATTATATAGAAATAATTATATAACGTTTTAATTTATGACAAAACTGTGGAAAATAAATTCATATACATCTTCGCTCTAATACATATTTTTTTTAATACTTGAAATAGTAATTTATATTATTAAATAATTTAAAAAATATTTTTGACGAAGTAATTTTTTTTAATTTTTTTTGCATAAAAGAGTAGAAAACATCACTAATTATCAGAATGATGAATCTCGAACCATTTAATTTTTCTTATGATACCGATTGAATACTCATAAATGAAGTGAACAAAGGTCGATACTTGCCACAATTCAATACTTGCGTGTTTCAATAGACGTCTAATATAGTAGATATGGTTATAGATGTTATAGATGAGTCTTAAATAAATGCTAACCTCATTCACATATTTATGTTATAAATAGCTATATCAATTTTGTATGGATAATTGAATGGGAAGCATTGCAATGAAAACAAAATATGAAGTGAATTCACGATTTGATCTATTAGCGTGAGCTAGCATATATTGCAAATGAGCAATCCTCTGATTAAACAGTATCATCGTAATTTGATCAACTTTCAAAGAAGGTTGGTTTTATATAAATCTTTTTATCCGCTTTGTTTAAATCGAAATATTAAATTTTCCAACTTTAAACTTATAAGTATTAATGAATCAATATTACTATTAGGCAATGGTGTTGAATAACTAATATTAAAGTTTTATTCACATTGATATACTCTTAATTGGAAATATTCTTGCTTCTAAGTGTTTTTAAAACGATATACGTGATTTGATTATTACATATAATCCATGACCAGATGTTATTAAATCTGAATTGCATAATTTTTTTATATTGCTATGCAATGGCAATTAATTGGAAACTTTACTTGTATGGCCTTCGAATTCTTGTGTACGAACATGCGACAATTCTTGGAAGGAAATTCGCCTTGTATTCTTTCTGTGCATAATAATCAGATTTTTGGACAACAATATCTTACACTTATATTTGCAGGTAGCCAAAATGCTTTAGCACTTTTTTCCAGTGCAGGAAGACTGATTTTTTAAATTAATTATATTAAGTTATAATATGTATGAAAATATCAAATCCTAATTAATGAAAAAAAATGTATAAATTCAAAATTTATTTTATGTATATTGAAAAAATATTTACATAATTCAAAAAATATAAAATTGTGGTATCATTTAGGGGAGGATAACTTATTTACTCATATAATAAAATATTAAATAAATATATAAAAAGGTTGACTTGAAGTATTATTAAACACTCCTAAATTAAATTCTTTAATTCCCAATTAGAAAATATCTGTTAAAATGTTCCCTACATCAGCACTTTCAATAATGTCTGACCTTTCATATTCTGGCTTAAGAGTCTTAGGAATTAATACTTCAAAGAATGTTTGAAGCATGTTAAAAATTTTTGATCATTCAACATTTCTGAGTTAATGATAATGTTTAAAATTTATTTAATGACTGGATAAATCCGTTACAATGTAAAGTCTTAAGATATTTCAAGCCAAATCCAAATATTTTTTTCATTGATTTATATTTTGCTTTATTACTGGATAATAAGAATAATTTTTGAGTACAATATCTTAAAAAATCAACTTTATCTTTCAATTAAAATTTGCTTTTTTTTTTTTATAGAAGTTGGACCAACCTTATTCCATGAAAAAAGCATTGGTTTTTCTGAAGAAACAAACGCCAAGGATTTCGGAATTTTGAGTATAAGATGGTGTTTTTTATAAATCATACAAAAACTGACTGTTTTTAGTTTATTTTAGTCAGTCAATCAACCATTTATTTAATAAAGTCAAGGAAGGGTGACTAAATTGGGTGGATTGTCACAAAAATGTTATATAGAACGAAAAATTCTTTTTTTATTATTATTAAAATATTAATTTTTTTTAATACCTTTCGATTCATATAAATAGATAGCAAAATCCGATAACTGGTAATGAATATGGCTGTTAAAAATATTGACATGATTGTAGTGTGAAAGAAATTTTAGATGTGGATGTAGTTTAATTGAAATTAATTATACATTATCTATATCATAAAAAGGACGTATAAATGTTCAGAAAGTAAAGTTTCAATAAAAAGTACCACCGTTTCTTACTCAAACAATTGATGTTTGTATTTTTTGAGTTTGTGCGCATACACAAATTGGAGTCCGGTTCCAGTCACTGTGCCGATATCGGGAATTGGTGTAGTAGGTTTATCTATTGATATCAACTGGAATATCTGCTAACGAAAATGTTTTATGAAAGTTATTAGTTAGCAAAGTCATATTTGTTGAACCTAATATGATGATTTTCGCTGCATTAAAAACACGAATGACTTTTATTCTTAGAGTATTAAAGAGGTTGCATTTGGAAAAATAAAGTGCCAAAAAAAAGTTTAGTTATTTTCAAATGGGTTCATTGGTGAATGTTAAATTTATTTATTAATGAAATATTTTTTAGATTAAAAAAGCAATTATTATTTTTGGCGAAAGAATTGAATCGTTTCATTAAAATTAAATCACATGTAATAAGCTAGTATATTTATTTTTATTTAGGATTCCTTTTAATTATTTTGCTATTGCTTTTATATCCATTTTTTTTTAAAAAAAATAATTTAATTTGAACTTGATTCTCGCAAATAGTTGTGAAAAATATATTACACAAACAATGTTGTTACAAACACATTTACTTATGAATATATATTATATCATTAATAAAAAAAAAAGACATTCTATTTCGATTCCATCCTGAAGAGTATTTTAACAATTCGAGTTATAATAGGGTAAAAAAAATAAATTTAGCCACGCATAAAAAGGGTTAAACACAGGGACAATAAGCTTGACTAATGAACACTTATGAACAATGTGTTAGATTCACGGATTATTGACGCTTACTTTATTATTGAGTTTGTTATCTTCGGGTATTATTTAGGTTCTAAAGTGGTCCTAACCATGTTAAATCTCTTCAGCAATATTCTTGTTTCACAGAAATCACCAGTTCTTTCGGTCGTTTCACTCCGTTTATCAATTTACGAATAGTAAGATCTATTGTTCCATCACCACTTTCAACAAACAACCATGAAATTATCTGTATCATATTTTGATGAGTTAAATATAGGTCAATGTAAACTTTGGTTTAAATTTATGCATATCTCATCTCCTGCTTTAAGACCCTGTTCTTGAATCCGTTTCGTGCAGTATATTGCAGCGTCTTCTGCTATTAAATGAAATTACCAAAAGGAAATATAATAATCATATTATATAAATAATGGAATATTCTGTAAATTTGTTCTGATAATCATTATGATTACTATCTTATTGCTTGAAATTCTGCGGGAACTTAAATAACTAATAAAACTTGATTCGAGAAATCAATAGATTTCCAACGTTTTCCAACTGTCACCATAAAATTTTATTAAATTGAATTAATAATTTAAATAAACAATATATTATATTTTAAAATTATGATCATACATTTCCGATTTCTCTAAATTACCAGTATTGCCAGCCAGTTTATAATTTAATTCACTTGTAGTTACTGTTTCTCATCGATACATCCTTAAACGTGCTGAGCTTGTTGCAGTAACTTCTAGCTCTTATCATCAGCTCAAGTTAATATTCGTATAGATAATTTTCCGAACATCCATGGTTTTATAAGCATGTTGGGTAGTAAATAGTTATAATATTATGCTATTAATCAATTAAAAATGGCTACATCCATATGTAATTTACTTCGAACTATAGGATCGTAACGAACCAAGCCCATTCTCAACAATATACATAGATAAAATTTTAGTATTAGAATTTATCTTGACCCAAAGATTATTGGGGTTGGAGGTGAGGGTGGGAGTATTGTGTGGGGAGAGTATAGGACAGGATTCTTCTTTTTTTCATCATCATTTTTAATCTCTGCAAAAACAAATTTCTAGTAAAATTAATAATTAAATTACGTTAATGTTAATATCCAAAAGAAAAAAAAAATTGAGTTAAAATACTTCGATCGATTTCTTGCTTCGGAGGTCACGTTGCAACTATATATCTCGTTATGAAACTCGTCATCAAATAGTCACTCAAATTTTGCACGATGGGAGATTAGCTAGCCTATAAATCTCGCGCACTATCCACAACGACAATATCTTCTTCACCTAAATCGAGTTTGAACAGAAAGTTTTTTGCATTAGCTTTTATGCTATGTATCCACTCCACAATACAACCCATGAACTGGTATGAACTAAATAAGACGTAAGAAGATATCCTGTTAAAGACTCTTCAGTTCAGAAAGTCGCCGTAACTCCCTTAATCATAACATCTACTTGTTCTTATTAATATCTATAGCCGTAAGACGATACCTCAAGACCAGGTATTCCTAGACATCTTGAAGCTCATCAGTTCAAAAGGTCTCCCTTCATCACATCTACTTGTTCTATAGACGCTCATAAATATTTTTTCATCCCAAGAGATCCAGTAACGAGGGAAATCGTTTCGGCTTACCATTTTCAAAATCATTTCCATGCGGGATTTATGGCAAATGTTTACAGGATTGGTGGAGGTTATCCTTATTTTGCTGAAAAATGGTTATGGGAGGGTATTGTTGATTTATTAAAGAGGTGAGGTATGAAAGGAACAAAGAGGACAGGACGAGGAAGAAAAACAGTTTATTTTACTTTTTAATTTTTGGTATTTAGATATATGATATTATTTGAGAAAAAATAAAAGGATTTGAAAAGTGCCGAACTAAAAAACTCGGCATTTTTATACTCATGAAACACGTATTTTAAACGCGTGATAAATTTGGTGTAAACAAATACATACATAAAACGCGTGATCAATTTGGGAAATTATTAAAAATAAACGCGTCGTAATGAGTCACAGGACATTGAAGCCGTGATCTAAAAAATAAAAAAAGCTCGGGTCATGTGATTATAACTGATAACGGGAAACCGTTGAATAGCACTAAGTAAATCAAAACTCGTGACATCACAACAAAGCATATTATTGGACGATCACGCGTGCAACCTTGCATCACATTGAGTCTAACTCTCTAACCGTAAATGTTCTATTTAATCCTGGAAACTTCGTTTTAGGGGATGAAAACCTATTTGTTACTCGTTATTTGTCACAAACGCCACCCTCAACTTGTGGCGTGGCATTAGGGTTGGTTTAAAATTTGTTTTATTAAAATTAGCCACATTATACAATATAATCACATGACCCGAGATTTTTTTGAGGAGCACTCTTATCCTAGACCCCGGGTTTAGGATTCCTGACCCTCCTTCCCTTAAATATGATTGGTTCGCATCAGCCACATTATATATTTTCGTGTAATATTTATCTTGGAAAATATTTTGTCTATTTTTGCATTTCCGTGGACTTTTAAATATTAAAAAATAAAAATTATTCTGTATTTTTATGCACTCTAAAACATTAAAGAATAAATAAAAATTTTTAACAATAAATCATAATGAAATTACTTTAATATTTTAATATAACAATTGTAAAATGTAACTATTTATCCTTGGAAATACAAGCTTTATTAAAATAAAAATTTATTTGAATTTTATATGCCAAAAATCAATGATAGAATTAATAATTATATTTTATTATTAAATGCTATAAAACGTGCTTTGGTATTATCACAAAAAATCAATAACTCCACAACATTTCAAGATAGACTCATGAAATTATTATGCAAGTATTTTTATATCACTGAACAAATCTTTTATTTGTTTTCTTTGATCAGAATTTTCAAATTACGCCTTGAAAAATAAAAAAAATAAAATGTGTTTTAATATATTACAAAAAAATCAATAACTCTAATAACTCTACAACTATTAAAGCCAGATTCGCGAAAATTAATATGCAAATAGTTTCATACTTGCTGAATAACTTTATTAAGCTCTCTTTGCTATTTCCTTTGACTAAAGTATTAAAATTATGCCTGAAGAAAAATCAAAATGCATTTAAGTATTATTACAAAAAATTCAATAACTCTACAACCATTAAAGTTAAACTCGCAAAAATTAATATACAAATATTTCCATATTTGCTGAACAACTTTACTTATGTATGTTTTACTTATTTAATTTAACCAAAATGCTGAACTTATGTTATAAAATCCCTATACGATACGAAAAATGCATTTATTATAAAATTACTTATGAAAATGTCGCAACTTTATAATAATATTCTACATCTAAAGTTTTGAATTACTATTAAAGTTTTATTAATTAACAAAACTTTTAAATATATTTTTAAAACATGAAAAAGGGAGAAAAAATGAAAGAAGAAAAAGAGTTAATAACAGTAAATGATAAACAAGTAAATAACTAATATGGATAATGATGATAAACCAATCAAATTTGGGGGTCTAGAATAATATCCCAGATACAAGCTTTTTTATAATACACCTTATTTTATTAAAAATCTTAAAGATGAATAAATGTATATATATCAAAAAATAATTATATTAATTACACTTGAAAATAGAGTTATCATAGGACAGAAACAAGAACATAAAATAGTTTTTGACTATATTTCATACTTTTTATATCTAAAATATTTGGAATAATATATAAATTATGTAACTATTTAATTAAAATTTAAAATAAAACAAATTATTTATAATTTTTTCATTAATACTATCAAATATCAAATATTATTAGAAAGTTAATTTAGATCAATTTTAAAAAGAGTTATTAATTCACATTTAGTATTATCATCAGTAACAGGATGTTTAATATTATCTATTACATTATTTTCATCAAATTTTATCATTTATAATATATATTTTTTAACATATGGGAGCTTTGTAATAGAAAGAAAGGAAATTCTAAAAAAATTAAATTTTTATTTTCTAAGCTAATTATGATTTATTTTGTAAAATAAGTCCAAATTTAACATTAACTTAAAAAAAAATTTTTTTAGAGTTTCCTCTCTTTCTATTGCAAAGCTCCTATATTTGCCTAACCTTGATGATATTATTAATAGTAGTTCTTTGATGTTTATGGTTTATAAACAGAGTTTTAAGGTAAGCAGAAGGTATCATGTTTATTGTCTTACTAATTTAATTAATAATAATCTTAATTCTAATTTAATACTTGTAAAAGAACAACTTAAGAGTATGAGTTCAAGATTTAGAATCCAAGAATAAGGATATCTAAGCATAGAAATTTACAATAAAAAGGAATCTCTTTCTATATAAATAATCCATAATTTTTCTTCAACGTGTCTAAAAGTTAGAGCTTCAAATAGGTCAGATCGGATCAGGTAATTAACTTGACCTGATCTGATAAATTCAAGTCGGTTAGATATAAAATTAATCTGAATTAAATATACATTTGATCTGACTTGACCTGACCTGATCTGTCTAAAAAAGGAAACTAAACAATTATTAATTTTGTTTAAACAAGTATAAAAAAATATTGATACATTCTTACATTTGATTATTTTTCAAAAAAAGATACTAATATAATTATTTTAACTGCAGAATTTAAAATTACAAGTTGCGATAAATTTGCAATCTGATGACTGCTAATACAATTACAAAAAACGTTCATAACTTTACAACCATTAATTCAATCATAATAAAATTTTATATGCACATATTTTTGAACCTGCTGAACAATTTTACCTATACAATCAAAGTTGATTTCCTTTGACCAAGATACTTAAATTGCTCTTTGAAGTCTCTGTACAGATAAAAAAAAGAAATAAAAAAAATTCGTGAGATAATACAATTACAAAAAATAAGTATAACTTTACAACTATTAATCCAATCATAATAAACTTTATATGCACATATTTTCGAACCTGCTGAACAACTTTAATTACATGACTAAAGTTAATTTTCTTTGACCATAATACTTAAATTGCTCTTTGAAGCTACTGTACGGATAAAAAATAAAAATAAAAAATTTGTGAGATAATATAAATACGAAAAACATACATAACTTTATAACCATTAATCCAATCATAATAAATTTTATATACAAATATTATCGAATCTGCTGATCAACTTTACTTACACGACCAAAGTTGATTTCCTTTAACTAAAGATGGGAACTATAATTAATATGTTGCAACTTTTAATGTTGCAACTTATGTTGCAATTAGTTTTAATCTATATATGTTGCAACTTATAATGTTGCAACAT